AGGCCGCGGACGGACAGACTGCCCCCGCCGGAATGGGGGGTGTGGCTGCTCCGCCGTGGTCCTCCGGGTGGGAGAGCGGCTCTGCGACCACCGGTGGCCAGATCCCCTCTGCCCTCTGCTAGAGATGCTCTTCCTGTCGGTGAGTTGTTTTTCTGTCGTAGCGGGCCGGGCTGTCGGCCTTAGTCACGCCCCGGGGAGGAGGAAGGAGCCAGGCCTCCTCGGTCTGGGTGGCCTGGATAGGGCAAGGCAAAGGGGAGCTGATCAGCTGCGCTCCTGGCCTCCTCCCTTTGGGGCATGTTGATACGCGGCTGCGCTCCATGTTCCAGTTTCATGCAGGCTCCTGGGAAAGCTGGTGCTGCTGCTGCCTGATTCCCGCCGACAGACCTTGGGACCGGGGCCGGCGCTGGCGGCTGGAGATGGCGGACACGAGATCCGTGCATGAAACCAGGTTTGAGGCGGCGGTGAAGGTGATCCAGAGTTTGCCGAAAAATGGTATGTGCGTTAGGCCCCCGCTGAAGTCTCTGCCGAGGCCTGAGGCCTCAGTTTCTAAACCTCACCTCTAACCTTTTTGTTGTAATCTTGCTTATTTAGCCTACTTTTTAAATCGGCACTTACAGAGAATGTAATTGAAGGGGGAGTATTGAATGTGAATTAAATACCTGCTGATCTTTCAAACTAGAGACGTGTGTTGATATTTCTCAGGTATTAGTTTATATTGTTGGCAACAAAAATCTTGGCGTTGTGATGGGATTTGTGTGTGTTACGAAAGAAAATCAGAGATGATGCCTGGAGCAACGTACTCCTAATGTCTACAGTTTCAGCCTTTTGAAAACTTCCGATATGAAGGGAGAGAAAATAAAGAACTATATGCATTCGTAAAACAAGTTTTAAAGCTTTAATAGATAAATATATATACTTTTTGGGTTGTTATTCCGCTGTATTAGTGTTTTCTTTTGTATACTCATATTGCACCTTCTTTTCAGCTTGGGAGAAAGGCATTCAAGTTGCTTTCTTGTATTTAATGTATCATTTCTCTGGCTGCTTTTAAGATTTTTCTTTTAATCTTTGGTGTTCAGCAGTCTGACTATGATGTGCCTATGTGTGGTTTTCTTCACATTTATCTTGTTCCCAGATTGGAGAGCTTTTTTGACTATGTAAATTTATGTCTTTAACCAATGTCTGGAAGTTATTGATCTTTTTTAAAAATTAAATAATTATTTAATTTTTTATTTATACTATTTTTAAAATTTTTATTTATTTTATTTTTTAGAGAGATTTTTGCAATAGGGCCTGTGTGCTTGCCAGAGAAACAAATAGACAGAAAAAGAGCTATCACCCCCTGGGGCGATGGCCACACCACAATCCCTTCTCTTCCGTTCTCCTCTTGGGCACGCATGCACACGCGCCTGATGTGAGTTTTAAGCCGCCAGGTGCAGGACTCAAACTGCAGTCGACTATGGGAGTCCAGTGATAGTAACCATTCACTATCTGCTGGTCCCCATTATTACTATTTGTTATTTGACCAGAGAGAGAAAGGGAAAGTGAGAAAGCCAGCCACCAGGTCCGGGACTCAAACCACAGTTAGCCATGTGGGTGTCCAGCACCTTAAGCACTATGCCACCTGCTGGTGCCTTACTATTGTATGTAACATCATGTTCTCTGCTTTCCTTAATTATCATTTGGCTAAAAAATAAATATTCAACACAATTCATGTAAGTATAAGTGCAGATTCATAAATATTTAAAAGCAAATATGTACAAAAAATGTTCCTTTCATAATTTCAATCATTTTATTGGAGAAAGACCTGTGGGGAATTGAGAGATAAAGAAGAATAAGCAAAATGTAAAGAACTAATAAAGGAACTTACTAGGTATTGATTTTGTTTGTTTGCTATAAGATGTGTTCACTTGCCAGAGAGATAAAGAGAGACAGAGAGAGGAAAAGTGAGAAATCTCCCTCGGGGTCGTGGCCACACCTCAATTCTTTCTCCATTCTTTCAGAATTTTGGGTACACTCACACACATTCCTGGCATGATTTTCAAGCAGCAAGATGTAGAACTCTAAACACACAGTAGGTTATGTGGGATCTAGCTGTCTTAATCTCCATACCACTTACTGGCATAGTATTGATTTTTTGACTGCTCAATTAAGAGGGTTTATAAAAAGGCATGTTCTAAGTTTTAGGTAAGTTGTATTCTCTACTAAATTCGTTTTGTAGTGTTTTGAAAATCGGTAAAGCTAGACTTAACATCTTTAGTCTACTTCCTTTTTTGACATTATATTTTGCCTCTTATTAAGAAATCCATGTAAATTAAAATAGTGTGGGGGGCAGTGGGTGGTTTGGCAGCTAAGGTGCCAGATTCCTACATGGCCAAACATGGTGCAAATCCCAGGCCCAGAGGGTTGAAAATCACACTAGGCACGTGTGTGTGCATGCTCAAAATCCTAAGAGGAGAATGGAGGAGAAAGATGTGGCATGGCCATCTCCCCTGAGGGGTGATTTCTTAACTTTCTCACTCTGTTTCACTCTGTCTCTCGCGCCCTATTGCAAAACGCCCCCCCCCAAAGTGTGTGTTTATATAACACTGTTTAACTCGTTATTGCAAAATTACGATACCCTGCCAAATGGCACCGTGTTGGATAACGTCCAGTATACTGTTATCCCCTGAATCTAAATTGCTAATATTTGAAGCAGAAGTTTGTTCTAATGGAATTATGTTTGAGTTGATTGATCTGTTCTAAACAATTTTGTAAAGAATAAGATCTTGTAGTTTTTTGTTCGTTGTTGCTTAATCTTTATTGAAGGCCTAAGGTAATAATGAATTATATGGCATCTGTGTTTGTTATGATTTTGCCCTTTAGACTCTTAGGTAATATATCTTTTTTAAAAATTATTTTATTTAGCTTTTTTTCTTTCTTTCTTTCTCTCTCTTTCTCTTTCTCTTTCTCTTTCTCTTTCTCTTTCTCTTCTTTCTTCCCTTCCCTTTCCTTTCTTCTTTCATTTGACCCAGAGAGGGACAGAGCAAAAGAGTGAGAGAGAGGAAAGTGAGAAAGCAAGCCACTAGGTCCAGGACTTGAACTGTGGTTGGCCATGTGAGAGTCCAGTGCCCCTAACCACCACACAACCTGTTGGCTCCCTATTTTTTTTTTTTTTTAAGGTTTTACCATAGGGTGCATGTGTTTGCCAGAGAGAGACAGAGAGACATGAGAGGGAAAGTGAGAAATCATCCCCCAGGGGAGATGGCTACACCCCAATCCCTTCTCCTCCGTTCTCCTCCTGGGATTTTGGGCATGCATGCATATGTGACTGGCATGATTTTCAAGCCACCAAGTCTGGGAACTGAACTATGGTCTGCCATGTAAAAGTCCAGTGCTGTAACCATTATGCTACCTGCTGGCCCCCTCTTAAGTCATTTCAAATAGATCTATCAAATAAACCTTGTGGACACATAATCTTTATCTAGTGCCTTACACATAGGGTACACTAAATAAATATTCTCAGTTTTTATTTTAATTTGTTATAATAAATTTATTACCTAAGCCAACCAATAAACTTTATTTATTTATTTTTTTAGTTTTTTTTTGCCATAGGACACATGTGCTTGCTGGAGGAAAACAGAGAAAGACAGAGAAGGAAAGTGACAAATAACCTCCAATTGGGGGTGGCCACACTGTAGTCCCTATCCCTTCTCCTCCTGGGTTATTGGATATGCACGTACATGTGCCTGGTGTGATAGTCAAGCTGCCAAATCCAGGACTTGAGCCAGAGTCTGCCATGTGAGAATCTAGTGCAGTAACCATCATGCCACCTGCTGGCTCCCTAAGCCAATACACTTTTAAATTTTGTATTTGCTTACTGAAAATACATGAAATGAAATTTTTTTCTTTTAAATTTGCATTTGGGCTCTTGCACTTGCCTGGGAGAGACAAAGTGAGAAAGTACCCCTCAGGGAGATGGCCATGCCTTAATCCCTTCTCGTCTATTCTCTTAAGATTTTGGATATACATGCATACATGCGGCATAATTTTCAAGCTACTGGGTCCAAGACTTGAACCATGAAGTCAGTCATGTGGGACCCAGCTGCCTTAACTTCCATGCCACTTGGCTACCCCAAGATGAAACTTTAGATGTTTTAAATTTAGATCTGTGTTATTTAAATAGGTAACTCTGGGGCTAGCCAGTGAGATGGTTTAAGTCCCAGCGGCTTTAAAACACGCTGGCACGTGTGCATGCATGCCCAAAATCTCAAGAGGAGAATGTAAGAGATTGCCCAAAATCCTGAGAGGAGAATGGAGAAGGGATTAGAGCATGACCAACCCCCCTGGGTGGTGCTTTCTAACTTTCCCACACTTTCTCCGTCTCTCCCAGGCAAGCAAGTGTACCCTACAGCAACAATGAAAAATTAATTAATTAATTAAAAGTAACTTTTTTCCCCCTTAATGGGGTTGGGGGAGGGCATGAGAGAGGTGAAAGGAGAGAGACATTTTTGACAGGGCCTCACTTTGTCAAGATACTCCTGCCCAGCTTCCCAATTAGCTGGGGTTGCTGGTGTGGACAGCTGTGCCCAGCATGCTCATGTTGGCCAGAACTGAATGTGGCCCTCCCATGTGGTGGTGGCTACCAGTGCACCATCACCACCAAGGCTGGGCTAAATAGGTAACCATTTTTTTCTTTTTTTGTTTTCTGTTTTTGTTGAGGTTTTTGCTATAGGGCGCGTGCGATCACCAGACAGAGAGAGCGAGACAGACAGAAAGTGAGAAATCACCCCCTGGGGGGATGGCCACACCGCAATCCCCTCTCCTCCATTCTCCTCTCGGGATCCTGGGCATGCACGCACACGCACCCAGCATGAGTTTAAGCCACCGGGTCCGGGACTCGAACTGCGGTCGACTACATGGGAGTCCAGCGACATAGCCATTATGCTAACTGCTGGTCCCAATAGGTATCCATTTCTTAAGTGTGGTTTCTCCACTTTTTTCTTCTGCTATATAAAGAAGGACAGTATCATTGAAACACTATCTAACAGATACTCCTAAATGAGCATGCATCACTTAGGTAATTGTTACTGTGATTTGGGAATTAATTATACATTCTTAGCCAAACCTGAAACACTAGCTCTCAGCTTGTCTATGTTGTAATGTCCACAGCTTTTACAAACTGCTGGCTTATGATTGTTACATGTAATCTGTTTATTATGTACTCTACAGACTTATTTTTCAAATGCCAGAAGGTGTGTGCATAGGCATGAGAAAAAGAGAGAGAGGGTGCAAGGAACCCCTAATGAGGCCTAGTCACACCACAGTTCTTTTTCCTCCAATTCTCTCTCTTTTTCTTTCTTTTTTTTTTTTCCTGTTTCTATTTATTTATTTATTTAAATTTACATTTTATCATGTGTTTACAGTATACATTTCTTTTTCCAATACAAAAATCATGCATGTCAATCAAGGCAAGAATATTACTATATACATTATCATTAGCAACTAGCTTCTCA